GACTCGAACCAGGGACCCTCGCTTGTAGCCAGCGATGCTCTAACCACTGAGCTATGGTGTAGTCGTCATCCCAGCAGAGACCGTTCAACATTTTCTTCAGACTTCGTAACTCACACTTCCTGTGAATCCACACAGGCGGGTGGGACGCAGCCCTCACTGTAACCCACACACTTCACGTACAAACTAGCACGCGGGGAGCCCCAAGTCATAAAATATTAACTGGTTTGAGGGAAAGAGACAAACGGGAAAAGTCTGAAGAAAAAATTGACCGCCACCACCAGGACTCGAACCAGGGACCCTCGCTTGTAGCCAGCGATGCTCTAACCACTGAGCTATGGTGTAGTCGTCATCCCAGCAGAGACCGTTCAACATTTTCTTCAGACTTCGTAACTCACACTTCCTGTGAATCCACACAGGCGGGTGGGACGCAGCCCTCACTGTAACCCACACACTTCACGTACAAACTAGCACGCGGGGAGCCCCAAGTCATAAAATATTAACTGGTTTGAGGGAAAGAGACAAACGGGAAAAGTCTGAAGAAAAAATTGACCGCCACCACCAGGACTCGAACCAGGGACCCTCGCTTGTAGCCAGCGATGCTCTAACCACTGAGCTATGGTGTAGTCGTCATCCCAGCAGAGACCGTTCAACATTTTCTTCAGACTTCGTAACTCACACTTCCTGTGAATCCACACAGGCGGGTGGGACGCAGCCCTCACTGTAACCCACACACTTCACGTACAAACTAGCACGCGGGGAGCCCCAAGTCATAAAATATTAACTGGTTTGAGGGAAAGAGACAAACGGGAAAAGTCTGAAGAAAAAATTGACCGCCACCACCAGGACTCGAACCAGGGACCCTCGCTTGTAGCCAGCGATGCTCTAACCACTGAGCTATGGTGTAGTCGTCATCCCAGCAGAGACCGTTCAACATTTTCTTCAGACTTCGTAACTCACACTTCCTGTGAATCCACACAGGCGGGTGGGACGCAGCCCTCACTGTAACCCACACACTTCACGTACAAACTAGCACGCGGGGAGCCCCAAGTCATAAAATATTAACTGGTTTGAGGGAAAGAGACAAACGGGAAAAGTCTGAAGAAAAAATTGACCGCCACCACCAGGACTCGAACCAGGGACCCTCGCTTGTAGCCAGCGATGCTCTAACCACTGAGCTATGGTGTAGTCGTCATCCCAGCAGAGACCGTTCAACATTTTCTTCAGACTTCGTAACTCACACTTCCTGTGAATCCACACAGGCGGGTGGGACGCAGCCCTCACTGTAACCCACACACTTCACGTACAAACTAGCACGCGGGGAGCCCCAAGTCATAAAATATTAACTGGTTTGAGGGAAAGAGACAAACGGGAAAAGTCTGAAGAAAAAATTGACCGCCACCACCAGGACTCGAACCAGGGACCCTCGCTTGTAGCCAGCGATGCTCTAACCACTGAGCTATGGTGTAGTCGTCATCCCAGCAGAGACCGTTCAACATTTTCTTCAGACTTCGTAACTCACACTTCCTGTGAATCCACACAGGCGGGTGGGACGCAGCCCTCACTGTAACCCACACACTTCACGTACAAACTAGCACGCGGGGAGCCCCAAGTCATAAAATATTAACTGGTTTGAGGGAAAGAGACAAACGGGAAAAGTCTGAAGAAAAAATTGACCGCCACCACCAGGACTCGAACCAGGGACCCTCGCTTGTAGCCAGCGATGCTCTAACCACTGAGCTATGGTGTAGTCGTCATCCCAGCAGAGACCGTTCAACATTTTCTTCAGACTTCGTAACTCACACTTCCTGTGAATCCACACAGGCGGGTGGGACGCAGCCCTCACTGTAACCCACACACTTCACGTACAAACTAGCACGCGGGGAGCCCCAAGTCATAAAATATTAACTGGTTTGAGGGAAAGAGACAAACGGGAAAAGTCTGAAGAAAAATTATTATTATTATTATTATTATTATTATTATTATTATTATTATTATTTTTATTTTTACAAGAAGTCGGAGGCGGATAATACTTTAATAACGAAGGTACGTGTTAGGTCGTAAGTATCCACGTTTTGTGTCGTGCTGAACTTGATACTTTTTTCACCTTGTCACGAGTGTTGTTATCTCATATCTTTACGCTATATAAGTTTTAGTCTTTCCAACTTGAGCCATTCCCTGTATAATCCTTGATGAGAAGGGACCGAAAACGTTCGGATACTTTGACAAGTGCCTTATTTTGACTGGATGTGTGTTTGCGTGGATACTTACGACCTAACACGTACCTTCGTTATTATTATTATTATTATTATTATTATTATTATTATTATTATTATTATTATTATTATTATTTGAACAAACGGCGAGGAGACAACAATTTGATAACCGCAATCAGTAATACAAGCTGGATCGACATTTGTGTACACTGTATTCATGTATTGTAAAACTGTGGAGACAATGTGCAATAAAACGATCGTTTTATTGCACATTGTCTCCACAGTTTTACAATACATGAATACAGTGTACACAAATGTCGATCCAGCTTGTATTACTGATTGCGGTTATCAAATTATTATTATTATTATTATTATAGTGGTGATGGAGAGCTCTGTGCCAGAACTTTGCAGCCTAGAGATTAAGTCTTAAGAGCGTGTGAGAGCAGGCGTGTGTTTACCGCCATATTGCCTTTACCACCATATTTTATCAACCATAAGTACAGCTGCAGTGGTGTTTTCGACTTCATTCTCCCAAGTCAAGCTCCGTATGAAGACATCCAAGAAGAAGATTGCCTGATGAGTCCAGCGGGGACGAAACGTAGATCTACGTCGCAATCGAGCTATGTCGTTGCTGTGTCATCATCTATGTGCCATGCGCGTCTTGATGTACCAGCCTGCTATGCCGGATACCGCCAGCCATGCATCGACCAGGCGCCAGGCGCGAACTGATGGTGGTGGTGGTGAGAAGGAGAGCTCTGTGCCAGAACTTTAAACCTAGAGAGCGCTTTTTATTAGCCTAGAAAGCGTGTGAGGGCAGGCGTGTGTTTACCGCCATATTGCCAGGTGTGTCTTTACCACTATAATTATATTATCAACTATTATAGTGATGCATCGGTTATAGTGATAAAATCACGGAAATCAAAAGGGTAGATCTACGCTATTATCCGATACAGACTGTACGTCATGGTACGTAGTGGCTAGCTTGGATTTCCTAGATATAGATATGGGGTGACCGGTTTTCTATGTTAGTCCATCGGCCAAATCTCAGAAAGGGCGAAGTTGATGCACTGAAGCTCCAACTAAACGCCCTTTGGCACACTAGCTCATGAGACCCCATAGAATACGAATCCGTTTGTTGGACGTTGCCAATCCAGTCCAGGATAGTCGAACTGGGTCGAATACCTTCTTCCGATTTTCGTAATTTCGTCCACCATTACATCTTTCTCATCGACTTTTTTTCGCTTGGCGAATGTTCTTGAGCCGCTGAGCAGAATCTACGCACGCTCGAACACTTGAAATGCCTGCATGTTGACGGTTCGCAAGATTCTAGCGAGCTTGGTGGAAATCTATTATTTATTTTGACATTTTTGGGGGATCTGAATTAGAACGGTAGAAGCTCATTCGGAGAAGACGGCGTGTCGCCGCTGTCGGATTGTCGCTACTGTGTTTCAGACGTTTTTGCTTGAACGTGCTATTGAGGATGGACAGAAGATGAAGTGACGGCTTTCTTGAACACGGACGTTTTGTCTACATTGTAGCTGAAACATCTCATCTGTCGTCTAGAACGCAATTATTATGAGTATATTATTATTATTATTCTCAATTCATGGATGACATGGTACGGTGTCAACCAATATTATGAATGAGGGCTACCAGCCCTTGAAAACACCGCCATTCCGGCAACAGGCTCTCAGCTGCACCAAATAAATAACTTTGCCAATATTTCGCCCATTGGGCATCATCAGGGCATTGAGGAAGGGGAGGCCAAATTACGAAATATAAAGACGAATAATGCAGGCAGATGAATGTTCTAGAACTAACACATCGTGGTGACACAATTGGCAAGGCCAGCAAACTAAACAATCATCACTTGTAAGGTGACCTAAACAAAACGAAAGATGAGAAAACTCACACATACACACAGACACAATTTGGCAAGAAAACTAACACTAACACTAACACTAAAGTTTACAATCATCACCTGTAAGGTGACCTAAACAGAAGAAAGAAGACTAGTAAGACTATCACAGCACGTACAAGAACACTTTCAAGTGTGGGAATGCTAAAGGCGATCTATGTATATGACAGCGGTGTATGTGCAAAGTATGTGTATGTGCTGTGTCAGGTGGTAAAGTCCAGTGGTAGTTCGAGGAGATGGGTGTCGATTCCAGTGACGATCCGGTGACATCCAATCAGTCAATTAGGCGCCAGCCGTTATCGCAATTGACTGCTGGTTTGCGCTTCCTTATCTCGATAGCTTCAAGCAGTTTCCTTGATGGTAGCGAAGCCTCCCTGCCGAGAATCTTTGCCTGGTGGAAGGGCAGAAAGTTGGAAGACTTTAAAGATTCTCGATGCTGGGTACGATAGTGGAAGCCCCAGGGAGCCTTCGCCACCATCGCCCTTGCCTCTCGGTAGTGCTCAGCGAATCGGTCCCTCACCGGCCGCTCGGTCTCACCAACGTACAATTCCGCACACAATGTGCAAGACATACAATAGACAACACCTTTGACTAAACACTGACTATCCACCATACTCGCATCACATGCACGACACTCCATTGGTCGACCTCTCCCTCTCTTCACCTCCGATCGCTGCTTCTCACGGGGACACACACGTACAGCACTCGACGATCGGACCAACATATCCTTCAAAGAAGGACCAGACACAAAGACAACACGAACATGCGGACTGAACTTTCGAACACGTCGTGAGACACGAGCGGCAAGTGAGTCGTTGATGAAGGGCAGTTTGATGACTGAATTGAATTGGTTGTGTCTGCGCTTGCTGTCACCAACGGTCACGCTGCTGTTGTTGAGACGGGTGTGTATCTTGTCTCTTCCCCTTGGCTGCTCGTCGTGCTGCGTTTATCTCGGTGCGTGGATAGTCATTTCTCTCGAGCAACTCTTCAATTATGGACATGCTCCTGTCTTCCGCTTCCGGTGTTGACGAGTTACGGATAGCTCGAGAGAATTGGTTCGTTGCAACAGCTCTTTTACACGACCAGGGGAGACATGATTCATAAGACAGGTGGACACCACTGTGGGAAGGCTTAACATAGAGCTCCCACTCTATGCTGTTTCCACGCACAGACAGCGCTAGATCCAGGAAGTTCACTGACTGAGTTTCGTTGACCGAGTGTTCCATTGTGAATTTGATAGTAGTGTGCTGTCCGTTGAAGTGATCTAGGAGTGCTGCTAAACCTTTCCAGCCATGTCTCCACAGTAGTATGCAGTCGTCGATATATCGCTTGTAGAGATCTGGCTTCACTGTAGCTGTCGAGAGGGCCTTCTGCTCAAGCGCATCCATGAAGAGGATGGCCAGCGGAGGTGCCAGATGGTTCCCCATCGCAATTCCACGCTTCTGACGGTACTGTTTACTATTGAACTCGAAGTAGTTGTTTGACAGAACATACTGCAACATCAGCTGTACATCCGCAACCGTCAATCCAAGCATGTCGACATCATCTTTATGCTGCTCTAGCTTGGTAATAGCGGCCGAAATGCTCTCATCTATAGGAATGTTCGAATAGAGGCCCACTACATCGAATGAGGCGATGATGCAGCCATCCGGGACCTGGCGATGCCTCTTGATGTCTTCAATGCAGGCTTCGGTGCTATCTAGATGAGCAGGTACGAACATAAGGAGCTGATTCAGTATCCTTTCAACAATCAACGAAAGGTTACTTGTAGGACTGTCGCAAGAACTGACCACGGGACGCAATGGCAATCCTGCCTTATGGTCTTTGGGGAGACCGTAAAACCTTGGCATCCGCGAGTGCCTCGGTTTAATTGCCTTCTCCAGTTTCTCCGGGAGCTTGTTCTTCAGATGAGTGTCGACAAAACGGCTTGTCTCCTCATCCAGTTTGTCCACCGTCATGGCCACCTTCTCATAGTCAGCTTCTTGGTCCAGCATGGCTTCGGCTTTCTCATCATATTGTGTACTGGGTAACAAGACGAATCCCTTTCCCTTGTCTGACGGCTTTATGACAACACTATGTTTTCCCCTGAGCTGTTGAATCTCATCTTTCTCTTCTTGGGACAGCGGTACGAACGTTGATTGTTTGCGGTTCCTCTTAGCTTCTTCATCATAGAGCGACATAATGTCATCCTTCATGCGCCGTAGCTTGCGTTCATCTTCCTTTCCCATCAATGGAGGTTGACGTGTTGTCCCACAGAGCTTCCTCAGGGTGATGTCGTTGTCTAGTGTAGTATTGCATGGTCTGACTTGCTCCTTTCCTTCTGGTTTGTACTGCTCCCTCGGTGTACCCTGCGCCATCTCCTCCACTTGCTGTGCCGTCCCTTGTTCCGTTCTCTCTTCAATAGCCGTCTGCCAGCGGTGTCCGAAAGCAAACCTCTCAACAGCAACTTCAGCATTACGGACTGTGCGCACGGTGCACTTCTGTCCTGGAACAAATTTTGGCCCACGTGACAGCAATTTGATCATCGTCTCTGGGACGTCGTCTCTCAGTGAAGGATCTATAACAACCCTCCTCCCATTGTCAAACCGACAGGAATGCTGTGTCTGCCTGTGCACATCCTCTTCGCTGCGTCACCATGGTCACCAGCCATGGAATAAAAGAACAAGAAGGCAAAAATGCACACGCAAAATATGGCAAGTTAAATGAAAATGAAAATGAAATAAAAGTAAATCAATCCAAAACCAAAATCAATTATAAAAATCAATCCAAAACCAAAATGAATTGTACAGGTAGCATATATGATTTACTTTGGAGCTTGAAGTAATACACAAAGAGAATTGAAATCAATGATTAGTAAATGAAGATCGACGTATGTGTATATTTATCAAGCTTAAAACGCATTGAGGGTGTTGCTGGACTTTAATTGCTGAGGAAGAGAATCCCATAATTGGTATGCTAGGAATACAGGCGATTTGCTCATAGAATTGTTTCTTGCAATCGGGAAACGAAGCGAGTTCCGGCTTGTTGAGGATTCATTGAACCAGTTTAAGGAATGCTGCACATGCTGAGGGGCAGTGATAAGTTTGATTTTGTGAATGTATACGCAGGAGGATCGGTCAATGTAATGTTTCAGAGGAAATGTACAGCAATTTTCATAGAGAACGGCTATGTTGGTCTCGGGCGGCAAACGAAGTATTGCCCAGAGAATCCGCCGATCCACAATCTCCAGCTTTGCAAAGAGGCCATTACCAGCGCCACACCACACAGCAATACAAGAAAATAGGCAAAACGTATGTATGATAAAAGGTCTTTCGGCATTCTGGTGAAATGTGGGGGAGATGGCCATAAAGAATACCGACGACTGAGCTTGCCCGCTTTTCCAGATTCCGGAAATGGTGGGACCAGTCCAATTTGCTATCAAGTGTAACGCCAAGGTGCTTGTGACGAGAGGTTATAGGTATCGGGGTAGGATCATCGGGGAAATGGAAAATAAAAGTTTGAAGATGTGCAACATCTGATGACGCGTTGGGGACGACACACATGATCTCGGTCTTGGCGGAGTTCGGCCTGAGTTTCCACCTTCGCATCCACTTGACCACACAGTCTATTCCTACCTGCAGGTCTAGACACGCGACGGGGAGCGACCGGTGACTAGCCAGCAGAGTGGTGTCGTCCGCACATAGCGAGGTGTTGGGAATTGCACCGATATCATTCACATATATTAGAAAAAGCAGGGGCCCCAGAATTGATCCCTGGGGGACACCAGAACACACGCGTTCAGGGTGGGACAATTGACCCGAGATACTCACTTGCTGTGAGCGACCACACAGGTAACTCTCCAGTCACCGCAGTATGCGTCCTTGAATCGAGAATGATGCTATCTTAGCCATCACTGCATCAGCCCACGGTGCCACACAGTATCAAAGGCTTTAGATAAATTGAAGAAGCAGACTAGGCTGTACTCGCTGCGATGGCGATTGTCATGCAGGGATTGAACAACTCGAAGTAGCTGCCAGGCTGTTGAATCACCTCGACGGAATCCGGACTGTGATTGATGGAGATATGGATCTACATGTGCATACAACTTGTCATACATTATTCGCTCACACAGCTTTGATATCGTTGAGAGAAGGGATATGAGTTGTGAGTGCCAGCTGAGCTGAACACAAGCTGGACACCATTCGTCAGCTGGGAATTTGCATCGAAGCTCTTGATAGCCACGATAAGCATAATTATACAGAGGTAACCTTGTTTGACTCAATACGCATGCAGGTGATACCACTAGTGGCACTACAATGTAAATGGTGCAAAATTGATGCAACAGCGAATATGTACTTCGTACAATCACGAACAATTGTAAGGCAAGTGTTCATGCCTGTCATAGAAGAATTTCAGCCCGGAAGTCTTGTTGTCATGGTCATAAATAATACAGGACTGGAGTTGGCTCTGGACATAAACACACTTGTGGTGAATACGGTCATTATTGCGAGAAAAATATTTAGCCATTGTATGTTGACACCTGATGCCGCAAGCAATATTTCATGTACATGGTTGTGAGACTCAATTGCATCCACAAGGCCGTAGATGCATGGAAGCACACATTGCTGTACAGTATAAGTAGTAGTCGACATGTGGTGCCTTCCTGCTGCACATGCACATGTGGCAAGTTGGCAACGACACATGACCTATCTGCACCGCACAGCGTGAGCTTAGAAAGGAATATTGCACACATAGTGCTATTTGTGTTCCGATATCATTAAGCCGGTATACATGTACTAGTATCCTTATACATGTACCTGGTCACTCGATAGGCGATGCCGACTGTACTAATCTTATCCATATTACCCGATAGGCTATAGCACACTGCGTCAGATCACTATGCAACAAAACAAGAGCTTTGGAGCGAATATACACTGAAGCAAAGTAGGTTTCAACGGTACAGCACTAGTCACGATGAGGGGAGTTACGAGGATGGTTAGGCCGTGGCACATAGATGATGATTCATTCGGTTAATGATTCATGCACGGTGGAAAATTACCACCAATGGCGATGATATTGCTTTCACAACAATGACATCAGTAGGAGCAGTGACACACCTTACTGCTCCGATACACGTAGGATTTACAAGCGAGTGAAGGGAGAGCAGACTGGTCTAATAGCAGACCGGGTCTAAGCAAGGAAGTAATCGGCATCAGAGGTGAGCTTGCACATCAGAAAACAGATGATGATCACCAAACACAGAGAAGTTGGCTATGTGTATGTTTGTGTCACTGTGTGTGCATGTGTGTGTGTGTGCATGTGTGTTTGTGTGTATGCGTGCACATCTGTGTGTGAGAGAGAGGCAGACAGACAAATAGCATATGGTGGGAGGGATCAAGGTCTGACCTCAGAGTTAAATGCTGACGGTGTGGAATAGCAACAGTGCGAAATCGGGCAGGGTGGTTAATGGCCCACACTGGAGCCGAGTAGGAGCGCCAGTGGTTGAGGGCTAGCACAGGAGTAGCAGCAGCTCCAGCCTAGGAAGATCAGCTTCTGGATGAAAATCTCCCGGACACAGTAGGTACCAAGCTTCACTAGCAGATTGCCGGCAGGGGTGCACGGCGAGCACCCGTACATCCCTCAAGCCACCAGAGCCGCAGTACTTGGACACGATCCAGGTGCTTACCCGCCAACAATGCTGAGAAGGCACTGGAGCCATACAGGAACTTATGATCGAGCATGACCACAGACTTCTAGTATATCCACGCTATAACTTTCTTATCATTATCCTCACCTATGTCTGACCTTAATCCTAATGCCGCCCCCTTTTTTCCGGGGCTTTTCACTCAATCCCGTAACCCTTTGCATCATCATCATAGCTTAGGTACTAGATCTCAACCACCCCCGATCACCAGTGCTAGTAGTGCTTCTCAGTCTGAGATAGCGGGCCTCCAGATTAGTTTCCTCAACATTTGTCACTTGCTTAACAAGAAGCACGAGGTCGAGGAATTCATCCATAAGCACAACATAGACATAATGTGTCTTGCCGAGACATTCCTGACCTCAGAAACCCCGGACAGCCTTGTCAACATCCCAAACTATAAACTTATCCGTCAAGACAGACCTGGCTTCGGTGGTGGAGTAGCGGCCTATGTACGGAGCTCACTTCATGTTACTCGGCTAGAGGACTTTGCTCGTGGTGATCTTGAACTTCTCTTTCTCCTCGTTCACGGCCTCAATGGTAAACTAATCCTCGGCACAGTCTACCGACCTCCTGGGTCGCTGGTCTCGTACTGGGACAAGCTGACTGACGCTGTGGACTCAGTCCACGCACCGAGGGCCGGGACGCCTATTGCTTTGGTCGGAGATTTCAATATCGACACATCGTCTTCCAGAGCCGCCCAGCTGACGCATCTTCAACATTTCTGCGGTAACTTTTGTATTTTGAACCACGTCACTGAATCGACGCGTGTTGGACGTGGTGGGTCCAGAACCACCATAGACCTCCTGTTGGCTGAGGACGGTGCAGTGGGCTCTTGCCGCGTTCTCCCGCATAGCCTCAGTGACCACCTCCCCATCTTGGCTACCCTTGCCTTCGAAATGCCAACCGTGCCAGTACTCAGATCTAGCCGAAACACCAGAGGAATAAATTTTCCGCAGCTCTGCCAGGACTTGGTCAACTCTCGTCTAGAAGACTTCAGCACGGCGACATCCTTGGAAGATATGTGGCAGCTATGGTATGACAAGGTCACCTCACTCCTTGACAGGCATGCTCCTGTCCAGGAGCACTGCTTATCCAGCTCTAGACATCAGATTCTTACAAGATCCCCATGGAAAACGGCCGTTTACCATGATGCAGTCCGCGAACGAAATCATGCCCACCATCGTTGGCTCCGAAAACCTACGGACACGGAACTTTACGACACATTTTCAGATGCCCGCAAAGCAGCAAAGCGGCTTGCTCGTCAGCTGAAATCATCCTACTATACACAACTACTGGACACGTGTCAATCCAACCCCCGTAAAGCTTGGAAGGTCCTCAACGACCTCTGCGGTCGGAAGAAATCGTCAACTCCTACTCGGCTCACTGCGTCTGCCCTCAATGCCCAATTCAGTTCAGTTGTCAGTGATCCGCAGCGACCTGATGTCCTATCCCAACCTGAGGGACCGGGCATAGCAGATGGCTTGAACCGCTTCGAACCAGCCACATGCGAAGAAGTGCTTGCTCTCCTACTGAAGGTAGACGAGAGGAAGGCCATGGGTAGCGACGGAATTCCCTGCTATGTGTTGCGACACTGCGCTCAGGTCCTGGCCCCGTCGCTGACTATCTTGATGAACGCGTCACTGGCCATGGGAAAGGTTCCGATGATGCTGAAATTGGCCCATATTCGCCCCATTTTCAAGGCAGGAGACCCCGAAACTGCTAAGAACTACCGCCCTATATCTTTGCTCCCGGTTGTTTCAAAGATCCTGGAAAGGATTGTGCATAAAAGGCTCTCGGCGACGAAGAACGCTTCGTATCGACGCCCTGGACTGAATTCGGCAC